ATAACCACTGGGTGTGGTTTTGAAAAGAGGTGAAGTATGATACGGGAAAAAGTCTGAGATGAGACGGAGGTTTATATAGTACTCAAAATCGGAGCAATAAAAACTTTTCAAGAATAGCGGATGAGATATAGTAGGAAAAAATACTCCAATTTCAAGTTTCTTAACTTATGTGAATGAAGAAGATGCCCAGTGTTCTACCATCAGTGTGATGTAAGTATAGCTTATTATATATGATTACTTATATTTATGTGTTAAATAGTCTGAGTCTAAATTTATTTATATGCATATTTAATACAGTATAACTACTGTTCTGATAAAAATGTACCGGAGGCAGATGTCAAATGATATAGCTTTATTTTAAGTATATTATTAAATGCTTTTAATATACTTCAATAAAAAAGGAAGTTTTTTCACATTTTACTAATAGCAGCAAAGATCTGAAATTATCTCCAACACCCAACTGCCACCACATCTTATTCCATGTAACTCACCCTTCCCCAACACTGTATTCTTAACAAACATTTATTGAGCACCAGTTAGGTACAAATCACTGCGGTGGGCACTGCCTTAGGATTCCGAGTCTGACATTATGACCGTCCCTCCCACAGAGAGGAGAAGCATAAGACTCACAATACTTTAGACTCTTCTTGAAAGATCACAAATTTGTAAGTGACCAAACAAAAAACACAACACAGGTTCTGTGTAAATCCTGCTATACTTTTTCCATGAGTCTACATTTTCCTCAATAATTCTTAAATCTTGAACTATGCAATTTATTTCATTTTTAAGGCATTTAAAGATACACTAATGAGAAAAAATGGCTTCCCAAAACGAAAGCGTTCATATGGGAAGGTGATAATTAAATTGCTGCACACAGATTGCCGCAGTCAAGGAGCCAAGAGCCTTTCTTCCTAGACATGATAAAACCCTGAGACCGTCTAAAAAACACCAGTTATTTTTTCTTTCACTCTCATGAGGTTAAGAGACTCCACTTGGGATAGCAATGCCACATCTTTAATTCTTCTCCCATAGTTACATGTGACCCAAAGCACAGCAACATAAAACGCTCTCCGTATCATTTTTCTCCATACTGATAACATTTTTATGACAACCACAACAAATAGCAACTTCATTTGTTTTCACCTATCCCAGATTTTGATCGTTAAAAAAAGGGCAGAATTCTTTTGAAGATCCCAAGCTGTTCAGCTCCTACAAGGCCAGAGGGGAATCAAGCTCCTTTCTGGGCCCTAAAAGATTATATAGGCAAGAAAGAAAATGCAGGACATTAACGATGTCCTAAAGCAACTAACTAGACAAATGGGAGGAACAGCGGGATGAAGGAGAGGCAGCTGTATGAGAATCCACATTATTCATCCAGGAGACACTTGTCTTCTCCACTGTTGTCAGTGAAGAAAGGAGGAAGCAGGAAGTGCAGGGGAATTCTAAAATGTTTCTGCTTGTCTCCGTAATGTGCTCTACTCCATTTTTTGGATTAGGCCTCAATAACATTATCCCTTGTCTAATCAAATGTAATTGTGCTCTTGGAGCAGTAGTAAGTAATTTGGAAGTTTATTATCTGAGCAGCACAGGAATAGTAGGGGAGGGAGAGAATATCAGAACACGTGCAGTAAAAAGAGTTTCTATTGCTGTCAACATCCTATTTCAGTAGATATGACTCTTTGGAGTCCTTTGATAACAAAATGGTTAAACAGCCCACCTTAATAATTAAAAAAAATTACTAGAAGATATTAAATAATAGGCCTTGCTATTGTAAATGTCTCTCTTTTACCCTTGACATTTGCCTTCTTGTTACCTTCCCATCTCATTAGGAAGCCATGAAAGATCTAATATAATAAACACTTTGGTGTCTGAGTCCCTTTATAAGACCAGCAGTTAATACTGCTGCAATCAGCTGTCCAGAACTACATAAATTCCAAAATAAAATAACAAGTAGAAAAAGTAAAACATGCCAAGAAAGTACAGGATATGATAGATGTCTAAATTAAATAAATGAAAATAACAATTACAGCTTGCCATCATTTACTCTTGGGGAAGCCAAAACCCTATACTTAAGAAAGAAGGTCCCTGGCTCAGTACCTGTAGTTCAGTGGCTAGTGCACCAGCCACATATACTGAGGCTGGCGTGTTCGAATCTGGTCCAGGCCTGCCAAACAATGACTACCACAAAAAAAAAAAAAAAAAAAAATATATATATATATATATATATATATATGCGTTGTTCCAGGCGCCTACAGTCCCAGCTACTTGGGAGGCCAAGGCAAGAGAATCGTTTAAGCCCAAGCGTTTGAGGTTGCTGTGATGTGACAGCACTCTACCTAAGATGACATAGTGAGTCTCTGTCTCCAAAGGGAAAAAAAAAAAGGAAAAGAAGTTCCCTCAATTCGGATTAATTTATTTAGTGAATAAATGAGCACCTTTTGTGCTCAAATAATGGGGAATTAGAGTTCCTGGCCTCAAGAAAAACAAAAGAAATTTTTAGACTGAGAATAAATATGGAAATGATCAATATTCTTCTTTTATAGATATAGAAACCAGGACCAAGGTTATCAAGGAAGTAAAAAGAGCTCTGCTTCTAAATTCAAGGGCAAGTCAACTTATTCCACTCCAATCACATTTGAAAATTACTTGTAGGTTCACAAAAACCACTGTGCATTTGTAAAGGAGATTTACTTACCAATAACCTAGAAATGTTAAATAATTCTAACAAAGCAGTATTTCCTTATCTAGAACAAAGACGATGACAAAAGCTATTATCAAAATAATTAGGATACCTTGACTCCTGAGATGGATGAGTGGTAAAGAGAAATAATTCTGTTTAGAAGAAAAAGTCATAACTAACTTTTCAAACAAAAAAATCTGTTCAGCAAAAAAGCCATAGCTCTGAGACTTCCCACAATAAAAATCATAGCATTTTTTAACTTATTCATTTAACCATTTTCCTTAACTATGATCATAGGCTTCATAGAGGCCATTTTTGTTGATGTTTTCATTTCATTTTTGCTTCACATTTTTTATTTTCCACTGACATAGCTCTAGCACCTGAAACTTTGGATGATGCATTGCATGTGCTTAAAAAAACAAACAAAACACTTGTTCACCAAAAGAATGAATTTAAAAATAATGATAAGGGCTCAGCGCCCATAGCACAGTGGTTACCGGGCCAGCCACATACACCAAAGTTGGTGGGTTCTAACCTAACCTAGGCCAGCTAAAATAACAATGACAACTGCAACAAAGAATAGCTGGGTGTTGCGGCAGGCCCCAGTAATCCCAGCTACTTGGGAGGCTGAGGCAAGAGAACAGCTTAAGCCCAAGAGTTGGAGGTTGCTGTGAGCTGTGACACCACAGACACTCTACTGAGGGCAACATAGTGGGACTCTGTCTCCAAAAAAATAAAATAAAAATAAAATAAATAAAAACAATGATAAAAATAAGATTAGCTGTTGGCAATCACTTTTCCCAGAACAGAATCAGAGGAAAGTGACCTCTTGTGAATAGGAACTGAGTGGGCTCCAAGACAAGTAAGTGCCTAGCTCAAGGTTCAAGTATTGGTCATCTGAACTGAGACTAGAGGAAGCCACAAAATAATACAACAAAGGGTGCTGGTTCAACTGAGTTATATAGACATGCAAAAGAAGAGGCCAAGTTGAGCAGCATTCAGATTTAAGCTGAGTGTTTCTAACAGAGCTCACAGCATCCAATTCTTCACACTTCTCTTTACAACCTCCTCAAATGGCTGATAAGAATGTAAAGTACTAGAGAGAACTATTTGAGAGAACTTAATAAGAATCAGTTGGGGGGAGGGCAGTGCCTGTGGCTCAAGGAGTAGGGCACCGGCCCCCTATACTAGGGGTGGTGGGTTCAAACCTGGCCCCAGCCAAAACTGCAATAAATAAATAAATAAAAATAAAAAGAGAATCAGTTGGGGAATGAGAGGGGAAAATGTTATTATCTTGGATGCTGCTGTTAATCTAACCTGGAAAGGACCAAGAATAAAAACTAAGCAAAACGAAACAGATCTGTTAACTATTGTCCCGTAAAGAGTTTTTCGAAGTATACAAAATAAGTTATATAAATTAAAGAATTATAATTGTTAAATTATACGAATTATAATTATTAAATTATATGAATTGTATGTCATGGACCTACTTGTTCTGTAATAGTATGACCGTGAAAACATTTATATCATTATAAAAAGTAAAAACAAAGAAAACCATGTCATTTTAGGGAAACATTGTTATTTTATCAAAATAACTTTGGTCCAACTGGATGTTACATCCCTACTCCACACACAGTACCAATAGCACACATGAGTAGAAACAAATCTTCCCCTTCATTTGACTGCGTTGGCCAGTTTTCATAGTTTCTCCTCTTTGATTTAGAAGATATTATGCCTTCAAAGTTGAAGTAACTTGGAGAAAAATGACTCAAGTTTTATTAACGTACTCTTTCTCCATTTTCCGAATGATTAGCTGTATTCTCAGTTAAGTATCTCTCTCTCAGGCACAGAATTCAGGTGAAATAGTAGGTCAGGACGAGCAGAAGAGAGAGCCAGGAAGGAACATTGCATAGAAGAGTCTAAAAATCACAAAGGCTGTCACTTGGAGGGACAAGGGAAGACAATTCCATCCAACCAAAAATTTTAAATATAAGTTAAAAGAAGTAAGATCACTGGGAGGCACCTGTGGCTCAAGGAGTAGGGCACTGGCCCCATATACCGGGGGTGGCAGGTTTAAGCCTGGCCCTGGCCAAAACTACCAAAAAAAAAAAAAATAGTAGTAGTAAAATCCTTCACCCAAGGTCCCACATATTGGGATCAGAGGAAGGATGTGAACAAATCACACTTGATTCCTCACACAGAGTTTTTTCCACTTCACTCTTATCAAAGATACTAGGAGTTGGAAACTTCCTCGAGCTGAGTCGCTCTCTGTATTTTGTTATGTTTTCAGAGATTTGCTGCCTACCAAGCATTTTCTGCAATGGACGTGCAAAATCGGACCTCGGTGACTGAATTTACCCTGACTGCCTTCCCTGCTCTTCGGAAGCTTCAGATTTCCCTCTTTGTGCTCCTTCTGTTTACTTACACGCTGACCCTCGCGGGAAACAGTGCCATCATTTCCCTCATCTGGGCTGATCATCGCCTCCAAACCCCCATGTACTTCTTCCTCAGTAATCTGTCGTTTCTGGATATTTTATACACCACTTCAGTGACTCCAAAGCTGTTAGCTTGTCTCCTGCAAGACAGAAAGACCATCTCCTTTGCAGGCTGCATCACCCAAACGTACTTCTTTTTCTTCTTGGGGACAGTGGAGTTTATCCTCTTGGCAGTGATGTCCTTCGACCGCTACGTGGCCATCTGTAACCCCCTGCGCTACACCATCATCATGAGCGGCAGAGTCTGCCTCCTGCTGGTTCTGGGCTGCTGGGTGGGGGCCTTCATGTCCGTGTTGTGCCCAACTATTGTGGTGTCCAGATTGCCTTTCTGTCATAAGGAAATTCGCCACTTCTTCTGTGACATTGCCCCTCTGCTACAGATGGTCTGTATAGACACTCATTTCATAAAGATGATAAACTTCCTCTTATCTTCTCTTGTCCTCCTGACCTCACTGGGGCTCACCACTGTGTCCTACATCTACATCATCTCCACCATCTTACGCATCCCCTCCGCTCAAGGACGTCACAAGGCCTTTTCCACCTGTGCTTCTCACATCACCGTGGTTTCCATTGCCTACGGGAGCAACATCTTCATGTACGTGAGGCCCAGCCAGAGTGGCTCGCTGGATTTTGACAAGGTCGCAGCCGTCCTCACCACGATGGTGACCCCTCTCCTGAATCCCTTCATTTACAGTTTAAGAAATGAAAAGGTAAAGGAAGTCTTGAAAGAAGCAATCCACAAAATCACGTCCTTATTGTGCAGAAGAACCTGAAACCTCAATGAAGTCTGTTCGTTTTCTTAGAATGGTTATTTTCAACTCTTTGACTCAGTGTGGAGAAAGGCGTGCTTAAAGACCAGAAAATCAAAGACGTATAGGAAGGCAGGAGTAGACTCGGTACCTCCTCAGAGGCAAACGATGGTAGTCAAGATTCAGAGGAGGTAATTCAGCCATAGAGAAAAATAGCATTTTCTGAATTCTATGAATGGACCACGACGCACACCCACAATAACAAAGATTTATGAAACCTAGCTTGGCTATTATCATTTGGCTTTATCATTTTTTTTAAATCAGGTAACACTTAGTCTAGTTGAACTTTAGTTTTCTCATCTGTAAAGTGGGGCAAGTTCTCCAAGTTTTTGTTCTTGTAGGCCTAAACAAAATAGTTTGAGAAATGGTGGCATAGATAGAAATTAAAGGCAGACACTTCTCCCTAGGTCTATTCTGATGTTGCGAGATGATCGCCTTCACTCTTAATGGTGAAATAACTAATAATAAAAACAACAGGAAAGAGAAGTAACAGAAGCGTCAGGTTTGTATAGCATACTAAGGTCTGGCAATTAAGTTTGCAAACTCATCGTAGAAAAAGTGCTATGTACCTCATAGCTGAGTATCACTATAGTCACTTTCAAAGTATTCCCCTGGGGAAACGATGTACTGGCACCAGTACCTCGTATACCTTTTAAAGCAATTTTGGAACTCTTTTTCTGGAATGACCATAAAACCTGTCATCGTATTACTATTGACACCCTAAGTGTCATCGAAACATCTTCCTTTCAATATTTCCTTTATCTATGAGTAAAGAAAAAATTGATTAGGGGCCAGATCAGGTGAGTAGGGAGGGTTTTCCAATATGGTTCCTTATTTACTGGCTAAAAACACCCCCACAGAAAGCGCCGTGTGAGCTGTACATTGTCATGACATGAGAGCTCATTCTGTACACACCTTTCTCAGTTAAGATTTTCCTATTTGTCTATCAATGTTTACCTGGCCTGCTGTGCTTCTCACAGTCAGCCGACAATTTTGATGCATGATTTGGTGAATTTTTGCAATGTCTTCATCCGTTCTGCTTGTTACTGGCTGCCCCAACTTGTCTTCATCAGTGATACTTTCTCTCTCCTAAGAAAACCATTCAATCCATTTGTACACTGCCAATTTCTTCATGGCATCATCCCCAGTCAATGCCCATACTTTAACAGTAGACACTCCACTACCCTACCTAGTCAGATAACTGCTCAGCCCACATTCACAGCCTCTGTTGAAGAGTTTGACAAATGAAATGATAAAATTCAAATTACCAGATACCAAAAATCGTCAGCTTATTACAGATATCTTTGTATTATAGCAAGATACTGAAATTCTTTCTGGAGATGGTGTGAAAAGATGAGATTTACTGCTGATTGAGCTTCTGTGCAGGGCACTCAGGTGATACACCTGCCCTTTCACAATTGTGTTTTCAGTTATAACCACCTTTAAGTTTTAGTGATTATAGTGTGGGGGGGGGTGTGGTCATTTAATATGTCTAGAAAAGACTTCTCTTCAGTTTTTTTTTTTTTTTTTTTTTGGAGAGTATAGGTGGGTCATTACATAAGTTTTGAGACACATAAAAATTAAGAAATGTAAATCTTCACTGAGAGAAACAAACAAAGCCTTCCCAGCAACACTATATTTTCAAATTTATCTTCACATATTTGTGAGCATGTGTTACATAAAACGTTTAAATTTTTTTGAAAGAATCACTGTTGTTTCAAAAAATTTAGTAGAACTCTGTCAATTGATCATCCATGGGACCAGAACAAGCTAGTCAATATACAGAAGTAGTTAACATAAGGAACTAGGCCTACTGTACTGATACACACATGTGCTGCATGTCCAGTCTATGAAAATTGGTTCAACTTAAAGAGGTGGTCAATGCAGGGAGGGCGGTCAACTGTGGAGGTTCTACTACAGTTGTCTATCTGGCTTAAGGCGACACGACCTAAATCAGACTTCATTCTTGCCTATAATTCATGAAAGATCTGTGAGACTATTCCTCAACTGTTATATTTTAATGAAACATTATTTAATTCGTAGGTCAGTAAGCCTACTGAAAACAAGTTCAGCCTATCTCACAAAGTCAGAAGGAAAATTCTACTCAGGAGAGTAGTGCATTTAAAAGGAAGACTTGTACAAGTGAAATGTCAATAGCAAGAAGATACTATACAAATATTCCCTAAAGAGTCTGATATAAAAGAGAAAACTAATATTGAATGAATGAATAAAATAATAAATGAATGAATAAGTTAAATGAACACTGTTAAGGAAGCACCTAAAATTTCAGAATTCCCTGGAATTCGTAACATAATTAAAAATATTTAAGGCTGGCAGTACATTCAAAGATAAAATAGTGTCTTTGCTACAATATGTAGCGAAGTTTCACCCAAGTCATATTTCCTGACTACTCTTAATTTTTTATAGCACAACTATCTATAATTTCCTCTTTAAACTCTAATCTTCTGGGTTAAATTTTACTTTTTGCTCTTTTTTCTTTCTTCCCAGGGTAACTATTTCTACATTCTCCTTCCTCTGCCTTCCCTGATTCTACCAGGAATAGCCTAGAAATGGCAATGTGATAAAATGAGGCTGGGGAATTCAAGCATTCAAAATGCACCATTGGAGTTTCTAAATGTTAGGATTAGAATGCAAGATGTGAGCGAGATAACTAAAACAATAACAGAAATAAAATCAAATTAAGTCCCACTGGGGGAACTTAGCCTCCGAAAAAACCCACCAATATTCATAGATTTAATTTCTTCATGCAAGGACAAGTTCACAGACTTCTTTAATATGTATGAGAGGTCTATGAATATGGATTAAGAACTTTTAATTCTAGACAGAAATATATTTCTCCATAAATCTATATGCGAAGGCTTATGATAATTCCAATTGCCAAATCCATCAGCAGTCTGTCCCAGACGAAGCATTCATATTTATGGGAACACAGTCAACATTGGTACCTCTGGCCTTCAAGCACTAACCCTCAGGGAGTTAATGAGTTTTACCCCAGTCGTAACTAACTAAAATATTCCCCACTTACCATGTGCCAGAAAACCTGTTAGAGGCTTCGCCGGTTTCATTCTATCTCACTTCTAGGGTAACTCTATGGTGTTAATATTATCCCTGTTTTATAGATGAGACAGTGAGGAGCAGGGAGATTAACTGCCCTAATGTCACTCAGGGAGTAAGTGGGGTCAAACCCAGAACTACCAGACTTTAAAACTCATGTGCTTAATTACTACACCATCTAATTTCTTTCTTTGTTGCAAAAATTGCAGTAAATGGAATTGTGGGAAGTAAACCTCCCAGACACAGACATAAAATCAAAGAACTGAGGCAGCGGGGAGCTTATGGAGCATCCTGCTTAAATGTTTTATTTTACAGATGAGAAAAATGAGGCCCCTATGAAGTATAATCTTCAAGAAGTAGGTAGTAAACAAAAGCATGGGGAAGAAACCCTTGTGACCTTGACGAAAGTATAGGCATTTGGGAGACAAGTAGCAAAAGAAAGCAGGGAAGAAACCAAATTGCATGATTACAGCAACCCCCTCCCCATATTCCTACAGATCCTCATGACTGTGACAAGAGTATAGGCATCCTGGGAGGACGGAGATAGAGAGGTCAGAGACTAAAGGGCATGGTCATGGCAACCTCCTGAAATGCTTCCTGGGAAGCATCACAATCTCCTACTCCGGTCCGGGCTGGCACTAGCGATAAGGGCTGTCATGCAAATCACCATTTGTGGAAGGCAGTAATTCTAAAATCAGTCTCAGACACAGCAACCTTCTCTCTGCAGAAAAGATGACTTCCCTCACCTCTCATGACCTCCTCCCACATTCCAACAACACTAATAAAAGTCCCTTGAAACTGTGCAGGGGGGGTTGACTTCTGGTCAGACTCCATTCCCCTCTTTTAAAATAAAGCCTATCTTTAATCCCTAGATTGGTCTCCTTTTTTTTTTTTTTTTTTTTTTTTTTTGGCAAACCCTGGCCAGACTATTTCTAAACCTCTCAGAAACCTTCCATTCTGTCTGTGAATTTAGCATTATTCATATTTCCCAAATGGCATCTTGCCTACCATTCAGTCATCACTTATTAAGCATTATTACATGGTAGGAGAGTGTTTATGTATATAATATAGAAGATAAATTATAATAAACTCCACATAATAAGAGACCAAGTTTATTTGCGGAGTTGAGAGGAGAAAAAATAGGAAAACAAGAGTAAAAAGTTTTGTTAAAGTCAAATGTATTTATTATAAAATAGCATCCCTGGCTTGCCAGTACATGAAAAAGTTTACTCTGAACCTCAACTCACCCCTCCAACATTTTATTTCCATTACATGGGGCTGCTTACAAACAAATTTTCTCGTAGTAAACAATTAAAAATAAGGGATTTGGCCATGCCCGTGGCTCAGTGAGTAGGGTGTTGGCCACATACACCCAGGCTGGTAGGTTTGAACCCAGCCCGGGCCTGTTGGATAGCAATGACAACTACAACAACAAAAAATTAGCCAGGTGCTGTGGTGGGCACCTCTAGTCCAGGTATTTGGGAGGTTGAGGCAAGAGAATCACTTAAGCCCAAGAGTTTGAGATTGCTGTGAGCTGGGATGCCATGGCATTCTTCTGAGGGCAACATGAAATTGTGTCTCAAAAAAAAATAATAAAAATAATAAGGGATTTGTGTGGGTTTTTATGGTTGGGGTATATAAGGTCATGGGCATGGAAGAGGAAAAACTGTTTAAATGGCAATTAAACCTTGGTGGTATCCTATCCAGTTTGCCATTATTCCCATTCAATATTTTTGATGTATTTTCTCACCAGAATTCCCTTGAAACTGCTTCACAAAATGGAGAAATTCTGAGAACCTCATACGCATATATACACACAACACACACAGACACACACACACGGCTGAAGTGCTGTACTCTCCAGTTGTCTGATTCCTCTCTACCCTATT